CTGGGGTAATTTGTGCTTGCGAACAGTTAACAGTTACATTGATTTTCCCTCCCACTGCTTCCACTCCCATAGAAAAAGCAGATTGTGGGGACGACGAGAATTTTCTGAAGTCAAAAGAAGTCATAGTTGACGTGCAAAGGGGATGCCAGCTACATAAGTGTGACGGTTGAGGCATCAGTTAGCTTCTCTACTAAAACCGAGTTCTAAGTTAACGACACCTCCTTACTTTCTAAGCGTCATTGCTGGCCCTCTGCGTAGCCAAATCACCCCCTCCGTCGATGCTGTGATAAGAAACTTTAGACAAACGCCTGCACATGCAAGAAACTTGATTTCAACGTCATCGATCCATTCTGAAAAGTCTACAGAACCTGAAACGTAATCTGGTTTAGAAAAGACAGAGGGTATTTGGCAATCATCATGTATTCCTATCGCTAGTAGGATGAACCTTTAAGACACTTACAGTTTTGGTCTCCTATTTACCCCATCTTTCAGCGTTGATCACACGACAAAGCTCCTCAGTTGTTTCTCTAGGTTTCATACAGCTAGTGAAGAGGTTTCTGATGTAGGAATGGTAGCAAGCTCCGTGGAACATAGTTTCTTTCTCCTTCCCATCTTCTAAAAGTCAATGGTTTGTGCTGATCTCCTTTCCCACCTATAAATCCACTCAAAGAACGTTAATTGTGCAGCATACATGCCTATAATTGGAGATCGACAATTAAATTTTGGCGTCCACAAGGGATGATTTAATGGAAGTAGATTTCTGAGTTTTAGACGGTCAAAAGGTTGAAAGACTGCATAAAATGTTACCTTCAAAAGAGCACAACCTATTTACTTCTACTGCAATGCCTAGTCAACAGCCATGAAGCAGGACCGAGGCGCCACCGCAGTTAAATACGTTGTTATGGAGACTAGCATTCTATAGCCCCCGATTTGTTCTGGACTTGAGCAAATCCCAACCGCTGAAGAGAAGGAATCACTTAAGTTCCACACCATACTGACACATATAGCTATATGAGCCATCACAACAGGTCCGTTTCCTTTACCGCACTCCCTTACTCCTTTTCAGCCATCGCAACTTCCTCGATGCAACCAGTGACCACTCAAGCCTCACGACGTCTTGACAACCCAAAGCCCCAAATCTTCTTTCGCCTTATGTCAAGGCTTCTGAAAATATTTTGCCTGTTAATACCTTCCATTGTACCGTTTCAAGCCCACAGACGTACTTTTTACTTTGATTGCATTCCCGACACTTCTTTATATTTGAAAGTTTTATTAAGGATTGTGTGGTGTATATGCTGAAAAACAAAAGAAACTCCTTCGTGATTCCAGCGTTCACAGAATCTTGGCGAA